GACCTGCTCCAAGATGGTGCACTTAGATTGATTTCCAGGTTACAGGCAGGAGGATGGATGGCACAAAATTGTAAAATTACACTAATAAGATGGATAAGCTGCATCACTCATCAGTTATACTCATTTATTTTTCTCCTTCCCTTTCACAAAGGATAGTCCAGTTCTGTTGCTGAAGGAAGTAATAAAGGAGGTGCTGGAGCAGCTTTTTGAGAATTTGAACAGCTGCAGAAGCTTCCAGATTACTACGCAAAGGTGACTGAACACAAGCAAGAGAAGTGAGTCCGAAGTTCTGCTAAAAGGAAATGACCTTGTTTGACCTGGAACCACAACTGGTAGCAATGGGTCTCTCAGAATCTGTTGGCACAAACTACCCAGCAGCCATCCTGCCAACGCCTCTGGACAGTTATTTGTGAAGTTATTTTAAAGCCTGTGTCCCAAAGAATGGGTAGAGAGCCTCAACATTCATTTCTGTGACATAAAAACTGCATGTATAGAATCAGGTAGAAAATAAAAATAAAGTTTTGTTAACTTTGCAGAAAATACCAAACTGAGAAAGCACCCCCAGGTTAATCTTCTACTGTCCCCTTCTGGTATCCCTGATGGTAATGTCCCTTATGTTTCCTGTTCTCTTTGATTTTATTATACACAATTTCTTGACGCAACACTCCCAGGGATGCGTGTCTCTACCCAAGGTCTCAGATCTTTTTTGAGTTAGGCAAATGCAGGATGCTTTCTTTAATGTATGCAGCATTAACATTTACACAGTAACCTTGAACCACCTTTGTTTGGGCACTGAAGCGACAAAACCTGAACAGTTGCTGCAGTTACCTAAGAAATATTTAATACACATTCTCTCCAGAGGCCTGGAGGTGAGTGAGCCAACTAGTTTCGCTGACTGAGAGATTGGTTCCTGTCTCACAAGAGAGCAGTGTCATCTCCCCAGTGGCAGATGACACTGCCCTCTTGAGGGAAAATAATGTTACTCCTGGCCAACAAAAAGTTTTTTTCAGTGGCAGAAGCAAGCTTCAATAAAACATACAATGCTGTGCACACCTTGTGCTAGATAAGCTGCCATGGATGGCTCCAGAGTCAGTAAATTAATCAAGCCAGACTTTTCAGTGGTGTCAGGTCCAAGTACTATCCACCATCCAGAAAGCTTATAAACTGTAACAAAAACAAAAAACAAACAAACAAAAAAAACCTCAAAATTTGGGCGTCACAGACAGCATATTCATCACCTACAGTCTTATAACTGACAACAACAGGGTCATATAAGCT